CCGTCCAGGCACGTTGCCCGAGGTCTTCTGCCATGATCCAAAGGAGCGCTGCTTGTACTCCAGACGCCCAGATGGCTGGCGCCCAGATGGGCAATACCTTTAGTAAAGGCTGAGAGCTTAGGGATGATGATATAGGGGCAGATGGGCAATACATTTAATGAGGGATAAGAGCTTAGAGATTGTGATAGAGATTGAGAGAGGGTTTAAAGTTTAGGGTTGAGGGATGAAGGTCAAGCATGGTGGGGTTTGAAAACATGAGGGGACCCACAACCCTAGGCATGTGCGGATGGGGATCGGGGATCACACATCTAGATATACCTCGTTACCATCTGGAAGTTGACCTTCAGCATGTTTGTTGCCAGGCTGAGCTGACATATTATGACCTACCCGCCCAATTTCTGGCATCGAATGAAGGCCCAACCCAGGGAGAACCAGGGACTACAAGGACTGTCGGGATTGTACAAGGACTCTTTGGAGAAGTACCCAAATCAGACCACGCCGTTGTCTTGCAAAGTATCAACTAACATGTGCTCGGCTCAAAGATGTTACTCTCACGGTGTTTACAGTGCGCAGGCTTCATCTACGTCCTCGATCCAACTCTCAGCAGCAAGATTCGGGTAACACGGGGGTTTCCCAAAATCAGGTGTACCTTGCTGGGGGTCCCCTATAATAAGGACTATAGTGTTGTGGGGTCTACATTGGGTTCCCCTACTTGGGGAAGCTACCACATGATGGTACAACTTTCTGCAAGAATATCTCCACGTTCACAGATGCGCTCGCAGAGCTAGTGCCTCCAATGTCGTGGCCAGCTGGGTGATGCAATTTCTTTGTCCGATTTGTCCCAACGTCGTGCCTACGTTCCGAATTAGGGGTCTCAACACATCCCCCCATAAAACAGACCACCATGTATATTATGCATCACAGACCCACAAATCAAGAACCCCAGTCTGCCAAAGCACTGGCCCTCCATGGCGTCATAATGGGATGTGTCAGGGCCATTTCTGCACAGGGCACGAGCCACGTGTAGGCTTGCAAGTGCGGATGTTGGGAATTCTCATTGGGAACTCTGATGGGGTAATGGGAGGTGGAGATTGAGGTGCACCCTTCTGTTCACTCGAGCAATGACGCGGTGTTTTCTTCCGCGAGATCATCAAGCAAGACTCATTTCAGAGATTTGCTGCTGCTCAATCTTGGGCACCCTTTGACCTCTTCAATTGGGGGTCTTTTAAACACAACCCCCTGTAGTCTTTGTTCGCGACCCCTTTAATCCCCTTCTCATCCCAAGTTTCCTAGATGCACCCCTGTAGAGGCGGCATTTGAGAACCCCCAAAGCTCTTCTCACGCTAGGAAGCTGCTGGCGCCTGATCACAGCAACTGGAGTGCCGCCAGTCTTGCAGCAGCTGGTTTTGAACCGTGCCCACCTGCAGACACATGTGTCACCTCTCTTCTTCATCTTAACATCATTCCGGTATGACTGCCTTTTTGTTCACATTCGTAGTATTTACAGCATTGCTATTCATAGAGTGTTGTAGATTATGATCGCTATTATTTGTTCTGCTATACTGTTCCGTTTTGTGGCTTCCACTGATAAATGCTCGACAATGTTTGGTGGAAGCAGGGCTTGGTGCAGTTCTTCTTCCTTTGTTCTGTGTCTAGCTGCAATGCATGAAAGCATGTTGACGACCTGTCTTTTGGAGGTGGCATGTGCAAAAGCAGTGTGGATGTCGCTTGCTGAATGGAAATGGGAAAGAAAGAGCGCAGCGCGTTTCCATCACAAACACTCAGGCTACGCAAACACAAACATGTGAGTCTCATGATCGAAAAACGCAGAGCAGGTGACTTATGCTGGCAGATTGTACTGATAATGCAGTTCGACAGCATAGCTTGATAGTGAGGGCGGCAGCCACAACGACAGTGGGCATTGATATGCTCTTCGCACCCGACATTACTATGATTTCAGCTGCAGAACAACGATCTTCTACTTGCAGAATGATCGCTAACTACTTTCGGTGTTACCATTCATTCCAGCTTGTTTTCTTGACATTGCATTCAAGAACTAGATCAGCTTTGTCTGTGGCCATTGTACACGAGAAGAAGCAGGCCTTCCTCCGATGGAGTACTCGAACTTCAACCTGTTCAGAAGACTTCCCGTGGGACACCAGATCTGGAGCTTCGCGAGGATCTGGCAAACAAGTGGCAGTGGAGTAACCACACCCGACGTGCCAACAGAAAACAAACAACATGTCTGTCCAAGTACCAACATGGGGGGACACTGCAAAGAACACGTTGGATCGGGGCAGCGTGCGAATGTATCCTCCACACAAAAAGATGCTGCAGCGATTGGCACATGCGCCCTATGGCCATCCGAAATGTTGACAAGCTATGATGTGGAGTCACAGGTAGGGCAAGATTCTTGCAGGACCTGCTCAATCCTTAAGCCTAGGCGCAGGCAAGCGTTGTTACATTGAGTTTGGGGTTTAGCGGGCCCTTGAAAAACAGCGCCTGTTGGTCATCCGCCTTCCATTGATGCACATCACCTGCAGATCACGAAGCTTAGGACGTAGTGTAGTTCATGCTCTCGAGCTATAAACACAAGGAGATCAGTTCTACAATGCTGGATACATTTAGATTTACGGTTGCGAAGGCGCTTTTGCAGCCGCACCACAGAGACTGCCCGCTCACAACCGCCGGGAATAGCGTTCCAGGCTAGGATCGTTAGGTTTTCCACATAAATCAAATCCCAGAAGACAGTAACACCAAACCTGAAGCTCGAACCTTCACACTCAAAGCTCTAACAAAGTTGGCTGGCGTTGATCTGTCCAGGAAGGAGTGCAGAAGCCAAGCCCTGCAACCACTCCGCAGGTATAAGATACCTGGGTCTTCTGTTTGAATGAGCGGGTCAAGCCGAAGTTCCTTGTTGGGCTTACTGCTTCCAAAAAAAGAAAAAACTTTGTTAACATGCATAAAGCAGCCCGCATTTTGTTGTCAACCCACCTCAGTGTGGGTTGCTTCACTGTATGGCTCCAAGCTAGCTGCAATCTCAGACGCGTGGGAGCCCACAGCCCAAACAGGTAAGGGAGTGCACCCCACAGATGTTGAGGCTGATGCTACTCGGTCTGACTCAACGAGTAGCACATTCTTACTACAGTGTAATGTGAAGCCTCCAGAATCTGGTTGACAATTGCTTATGGGCCTTTACCTTCACCTCTGGAACGCATCTGAAGAATCTGAAGATTTAGAACTGGCTTTTGCAGCTTGGTGACTCCGTGTCGATGCTCATGAGCACTTTACCCTCGCTACCTCAACGGAGGCAGCAAGGCAGGTATGAAGGAAGAAGCGGTTTGGTGCTTGAATTGCATGGCTTGTAAGAATAAGCTCCCACCACAGTTGTAGTAAATGTATCATCCCATTTAGCCATCCAGAGCAATTATTCCATATCAAATACACATGACATGGCAAAAGTAAGTTTATGTACAGTTGGCTGGAGGAACAGCAACATTGACCCTTCCTTTCCAAGACGGAAGTCAACAGGGTCGGGTTGCATTCGATGTCCATGTCCTGCAACTCGCTCCACCAGTCTGGCCACTGTCCGTTTTTGAGTCCTCATGGTTTGAAGTGTTGGGCTCGCGGCTTTCTTAACAAATCCGCAACAAGGGACGACAACTGCAAATGGATGGGGATTCCACAAAATCCACAAATGACTCAACCAGGGGCGAATCAGCGCAATAATCATTGCAGATCCATCAAGGACAAAAACCCCAACCCAAGCAGAGAGCGAACATAATTCTGACAGTCTTTCGATCTGGGCGGTCATGCTACCAAGCTTGCCTTGCTGGACCCCTGTTATGGGCAACACGAACAATTGAGCTGCACTCGTAGTTCCAGAACTTTCGCTAGACATAGCTTCACAGGGCCTCATAAGCCTACTTGTGAACCAACAATTTGGGTGAGTGGCGACTTGTGGGCAAAACAACGGGAGAATCGGCGTTCCTGAGTCAGACGAGCACCATCCGCTTCACTTCAGGGAAAGGTCAGGTTAAGCATACGCCTCCATTGCGTTGAGGTTAGAAGAAAGGCCTTAACAGCTACCAGGATTCAAAGTGCCGCTGTCCCACGAGCAGAGCTTTTCATGGATTGGTGCTTTCAAACTATCACGTTCGAATTGACAAGCACGTAGAAAACGCTACACTTACAATAGCTAGTAACTAGAGAGCACAGGAGCCTTCCACGGATAATCCCTAATATTCCCTAGTTATATTCCATTCCTCGTTTCCCTGCTGACCACCAAACCCTTACCCCAGAAACCCCAACGAATATAACAAGTAGCTTCCATTTCACTTTCCATTCCCCAACAGGAAAGTCCAAGGCAGGGTGCATCACTGGGGCGAAGTTGCACACCACCCTCGCAGCCTCAGCCTCCGGGGACGTCGCAACTTTAAAAAGCCTATGTCTCCCCCTCTCGCTCGAGTCTCGTCAAGATTTGCCATGACATGCACACCGCGGACCCAACACCAGTAAAGTGAACGCTGTAGGGAAGGCGAGGAGGCTTGAGGCAGCAGAGGTCTCAGATTCAGGCAAATGGGGACCAGATGTTGCCACCTGCTGCTCGAAACAGGATTGATAGGGTGCTGGCAGCACGACTCACCAGCGATTGCTGTGCGTGCGGGTTTCTCGAAAGAATTCTGCCAAGGATTACAAGAGAGGATTACAGAGGTGGTCCCGCGGATGCTTTGATACTCTTCTAGCTGGAGATGTCTTCGTCTTCACTGGGTGGGGATAACCACACGCGCACACACACACGCGCGCGCAGCTCACATGCAACGTGCAAGCTGCGTTTGCCTTTATCGGGTGATGCCCGATGCCAGATTGACTTGGGGGGAGGGATATCTCCCCAGCTGAGTCTCAAGACAACACAGTGTCAAAGCCTTCCAACCATTGGTGACATCTGCGAAGAGACTACGCAGCATGCAACATCAGACTCTGGTCTGTTACACCAAGTTTCAAGTTTCTGTGCAGTACAGAAACTGTGCCTGGACCTGGCCGTTGGGCGCAAAGATGGAGCCTCAGCATGCACCAAGAAGCTAGACCGAACCCAGCAACAGGCACCATCAAATCTGACTTGTCTTGCGCATGTCTCAAGGAATGGGGTTGCTAGCCCTGCGCGTTGCTTGCATGACATGTCATGCAGACATCCTTAGATGCTGTCTTTAGATCCGAGATGCCAGGCATACTTGCGAGGCCAGTGTTCCCGACACATCCGCGGGTGTGAGATGCATCAGTCATGAGCTTGGTGTTGGCATTCGCCCTGCACAAACACAGCACACAACGACCGCGTGTTGCAGCCGGCTTCCGTGTAAGCTGAGATGCAAGTGGGTGAAGGCTGAAGGGGGGATGAGAACTCGCTGGTCCTGAGCTTTGCAACGTCACATCACTTCGCAAGATTCGTATGAGAGACAACGCATGAGAAGATGGTATGTAGGACCATGGCGTTCATCGAATTGAGCGGCAAAAGCCAATTGACAACTCACAGCATGAAAGCTCCCGCCGTTTCAACTCTTCTGCGCCCTGACCCGACGCTAGTTACTATCCCAAGGTGGGTGAGGGTGTTCTCAGGGCAGGATTCACTTACAACTCTGCCAATTTGGGGGACTCACATAGAGGACAGGTTCAACCCATTTTGTGCCAGGCTGCTCCACTGTCTGGTCCCTGATATTCCACTTTCAGCATCATGTTTCCCGCATGAGGATTTACCGAATCTCCCCTGTCGCTGCTTCTGCAATCTTACCCCTTCATTTAAACAGCAGCTCCCAAAAAGAGAGCTTTGTGTACACTCGGACTGGCACTGCAAAGCCATAAAATCAAAACGAATGCGGCTTCTTTGTCGCATGTCTTCACCCTTGCAGAAAAAGAAGTATTCAGGTGCCGAGCTGAATCTTTCGCTGTGAGAACCCTATGAGCCCACACCCCAACATGCGGGACACTCTCCAGCATCGTAAAATATCATAGACGTTCACCAGAGTACAGGAGCCCCGTTAGTTCGAAGGTTTCCGTCAAGCCGCCACTGCAACAAGAACGGGATCTTTCCGGCCGGCAGATTCACTGCCGCTGTGAGGTCTCCTCAGCCAGGGTGTGTGCTCCCCTCTCTCTACTTCTACCACATTTTTGAGCAGGTGCCACGAGAAGGGCTTTGAATTGCTGGCCGAGCTTTAAGGTGCGAGAAACTGAACTCTGCCCTTTCAGAGTGGGGCCATAGTATCCCCGCGCCAGCACCAAGTGAGCTCTAGTCTACACTCCTAGTATCCCCCTTAATACCCCTTATGATAGATATAATCCCCTATACAACCCTCTTTGATGGGTTTGGACTATAGCTCAAGTGAGATCTGCGCAGCACGTGCTCCAGAACCCCTGAGATGCGGACACGCAGGTCCGAAGGAAGCGACGATGATGCGAACACTTTGGACACAAGCGCAACTCTGGTCAGTACCCTGACAAGTGGGCCCACAAGCTGTAAACATGATAGTGTCTGAATCGGTCAGGCTGCAGATCTTTCAATCTTGCGGCTGCAACATATTTTGAAGTAATGTGCATCACTTTCGTCTGTGCACAGATTAGGGTTTTCAAGTGTGAAAACATTGGCTCTTGGTGGCCTGTGCCACAGAGGGAGAGTAAGCAAGCAAGTAAACAAGTAAACAAGTGACGGAGTGCGTGAGTGCGTGAAAGATTGCAAGCTAAGAGGCATGCTCTGAATTTTGCCTTGTTCAGGCGAGCGTTCCTCAAAAAACCTCGCTCGTGACACCCTCAGACTGCGCGGCTTGGAAATGCGAATCAGAAGCCGTCAACCCTTGCCTTCAAACTGCCTCCGACCTGCTTCAAACCCTTTGCTCGGTGATGTTGCACCAACAGCACAATCCGCACAATCTAGCCATTTAAAAACAGCCGTCTTGAAACCGATGAGCAACAGCGAGATGAAGCAATCCCGCAGGTTTGCTGCCAAATTCCCATATTTGGAAAACTCAAGATGGCTCCACTGCTTTGCAAGCAGGCAGCTGTGCACATCGCAGCGTGTTTCTCGCAGGAGCAGGTTCCCATCCAGGAAGACTTCAACGCTGTCATCAGCAGACACAAAAAATCGATAGTGGCCTTGACAATGCTCAGCCGCCAAGCGGGAACTGCCAGACTCCACTCAAAGAATCAAGATTCCTGTAAGGAAGCAATTTTGGTAAGGTAGCTTGATTTCAGGAATATTCCCCGCATTACTACTCTTTTGGAAGCCTTAGTTTAGGATCGTGCGAAGAAAAGGTGCACGGCTCTTCGATATGCCTGCATGCTTGATGTTGAGGAAGCCTGTCCATCGCCCGGACAAGTAGTCCTGCAAGCGAGCGCGCTCTTTGGAGCTAAAGCCTCCAGGCATGCTGTGCCCCAAGCACTCTCTACGGCTTTCTGTAAAAAGTAGTTTCCCAAAATAAGGGGACCCCAATATAGACCCCAAAATACTATAGTCCTTATTATGAGTACCCCCAAAAGGGTATCCCTAATTTTGGGAAACCTCCAAAAGAGCTTTGATTGGGATGATCTGTGAGCAGCCCTTCTAGCAGCAGGGTAAAGCTCTCTGGGCTTGGTAGGCTAGTGGGGATTTCCCAAAATTAGGGGTACCTTTTTGGGGGTCCCCATAATAAAGACTATAGTATATTGGGGTCTATATTGGGGTCCCCCTATTTTGGGAAACTACCAGTAGAAAATCCGAGGTATTGATAGCTCTCAGTTGTGATTTTTACGCATGCTTCAGGGAACACAGCCCTGGGTGTGGAGCTGTGTGCAGGCTCCCGTACACCTTTAAAGCAAAAAGTACTAGGAAATCGTCTGCCTTTTTTTGGTAAGGCTAGTTAAACTCTTTGTAGCGCTTGGTTTCGGTGACGAAAGAGTGGAAGAATCCACAAATCAACTCTCAGATACAAGCATAGGGCGCAGGTCCTTCTCCGTGACGCCGGGCCACTCGGCCTCAGATTCTGAACAGTTGTCCACAATCTGGGCCCGTTCGCAACAGCTCTGGTGTTTTCCGTTCTTTGGGAGAAGCGGCTTGGACCCATCTTTGATGGATACTGCATCCTTTCGAGGAGCTGTGGATCACATGTTCCGAATGGCTTTCAAGACTATCCTTGACGATTAGCAGAGCTTCTCATTCTTCCAGCCAAACATCATCTTGATCATCCCGTTTTCCAAAGGACCCCCCCTTGCGTTCTCTCTTCATCTGGGTAGCTGCAGAAGCATGGTCTAACTGCGCATCAAGCCGGACATAGTTTGGCTGCCTGCATTGAGGGCAGATTTGATGCAAAATTCGTGTTTGGCAGGCAGACGGCCCTTTGGCAATCTCTGGGGTCCTTCAACACTTCCAAAGAATCTGGTATTGTCCACTTGCTGTCTTTCTTGAGTGCAATGACAGAAAACCACGCCATCAACTCTGACGTCATTTTCGTAGTCTGAGGTGTCGAATTGCCAGGAGCTTCTAACTAACCTAAACTTCATGCCCAGATTTGAGGCTGTCAAACAAAAAACCTGGGGAAAACACTGAACTTAAAACGTACCAACCCCCTACGCATGAACCGGCAGGCTCAAGGTCGTGAACCTCAAACCGCCTACCTGGTTCCCCCATCCTATGCCAATGATGCTCAAAGTTCATATAGGCCTATGTAGGCGTGTGGGGGTTTGTAAAAATCTTACTTGTGCTGCTTCAATCATCTATGATTTAGGGATTCAAGGGATGCATGGGACTGTACAGACCCTCTCAAGGACGTCTTGAGCTTCTTAAAAGGGCTCCC